TTTGGGATATAATAAAAGTCAGTTAGCGACAAGCGAAGAATCCATGTCTTTGTCCTAAAATATTAATTGATTAATCCCGCGGTCCCACGCCCGCCCCTACCACCAAGCAATTAACTCCTCAATCCTCATCCCTCCCTTCTACTTTTAGCACCTTAAAAACGTGGAAACTCAAACAGGTAAATTCCTATTTCCTTCCATGCATCAATATATGTCCTACTTACGTATCAATGATTTCAAATCACAATTACCATTAAGAGTTTGAATTATACGATGAAATAAAAAGTAAATTTAAAAACAAATAATTATATGTCCTATTTAAAAAGATGATTTAAAAAAATATATAAGATAATACATATGCGTCTTGAAGATAAAGTAATAAAAACAACTTTTTTAGTGATGAAATGGAGTTTTTATTTTTAGTGAATAAAGAAAGAAAATTTTATTCAAAAGGGAATGGGGGATATATACCCATCCCTTTTATATATGGATCAACACATGGCTTCATCATATCACAGTGCCTTGCTTTTAGAGAATCCCCACTCTCCACCATAGATAGGATGCAGATCATATCTTTCATGAATTGACGCAACAAAACAAGAGAGAAGGTTTGGGGGATGAAAGTTTGGACATTGGCTATTTGTTTCCGTACTTAATTTTTTTTTTTCTAAGGATGATCAAGAAAACAGGCTAATAGGTTTATCTATTATTGTCGATTTTTTGTTGGATACCCTAACGTTGCTGCAAATATGAAGTAATTTCACCCAAATCGGACATCAGCTGCTATCAAATCTACAATCATGAAAACAAGTACAAATGAATTGAGTCTTAACAATAATATTCCCTTTATTCAAAGAAAATTCTATGATCAAAAGAGATCATGATTTTAATGCTTAATTGCATGCATGAATAGCAAAAGCAATAAGCCAGAGAGTGAATAATGGGCTTAGTTCGCTAATGCTGCTGGACAACTGAATCCCTCTAAAGCAATAAATCCTGGTTTATTCTATGACATAGATATGATATGGTTCCTTTGTCATGAGGACTACGAGGGATCAAAATCCATAAACTGCTCCTCTTTGCTTTCTGCATATATATGGCTATGACGCTTTGAAGTCTGAACTACCCACCTATGCAGCTTCTCTTGAAATCAGGCCTAGAACAAACAGCAGGTGTTTTGTGGAGGAGTGTCACTTACGTTGGCCCTTCACCTAATATATCTACAATGTTCCCATTAAGTCTCCCAGCACTACTAAAATTTAAGTTTTCAGCAACAATACATCAGCAACATGGAATCCTTTGTTGCTGAAAATTTATATCAGCAACAAGGCTTATGTTGTTGAAAGTTGCATAGTACATTTTTTCCCTAAAAGTTGCTCCACTTTCAGCAACAAGGAGTATGTTGCTGAAAGTAAATTTCAGCAACATACCCCATATTGTTGATATTTT